TAAATGAAGTTGATACAAGGAATTCTTCTAATAGCGGGGTTGACATTACAGTATGATGTAGATGTGTGGTATGACAAAGGCGTTGGTATGCTAGTAAACTGGCTCTTCAACAGCAACAACAGCAACAACAACAGCAGCAACAAAAAGAAGCCCTGATTTGCCATTTGCTGATTTTCATGGAGTATTTACCCACACACACATTACAAACCACAGCAGATTTCAAACTACCAATGGCTTAAAAAGGCTTGCAAAAATTCCTGAACATCTAACAGTTGTCTCTTCAAAGCTGGTATGAGGCTGGAGGTGGTGGCTCATGCTTGTAATCTCAGCACTTTGGGAGGCCAAGGTGGGAGTACTGGTTCAGCCCAGGACTTTTAGACCACCAGCCTGGGCAACATAGTGAGAATTCGTCTCTATTAAAAAATTAAGTAAATAAGTAATAAATAACAAAGTTGCTATGAGCTGGCTCTAGCATATCACTGGAAGAGAGGCAAACATGGGTGCAACGAGTGCCCAGGAAAAGGGCCCTAGTTTATCTTGGCAGGGGTGGTGAGCAGAGTTCAGCAAAGGCTTCCTAGAGGAGATGATACTTGATTTGTGTTTTGAAGGGTGGGTATGTTGGCTCTGGCCTGATACCTCTAAACTGGATAACACAGTCCTGTTCCCTGTAGGCCACATTTCACTGTTTCTGGGTCCCCTACTCAGCCCACTGCTGTATGCCTGAGGCTTATCATCTGACTCAGCACAATCCTCAGAAAATCCTTTCATGTGGCTGGTGTTCTACTGGGTTTGCTCTGAATCCCACAGCAGAGAATTAGACAGCAGTAGAAGTTAGTCAAGTGAGAAGAGGGAGGGTTTTCCAAACAGAGGGATGGCTTATGCAAAGGTTAAAGAGCAAGTGCTACAGCAGTTTGGTAAATCTAAGATGTCTGTGGGAGGGAGTGGAGGAGATTAGCTCCTGACAGGCTTGGTTTGATACGTTAAGGAACATAAACTCGTTCCCAATCTGGGCTGGGACAAGTGTCAGAAAAGGGGAAAGGGACCAGTTATAATACTTTTCCTCCATAACTTTATTACAGTTGGTAACTATGGGTTTTTTGTTGGTTTTGATTTTTGGTATGAAATCATTTAATTAATATCTGTCTCTTCCAGGAGAATGTAAACTCCACAAGGGCAGGTAATATTCTATTCACTGCTGTTTTCTCAGTACCAGCACTGGTACATAGCAAGCAACAAAACATATTTTGTTGAATGATTGAATCACTGGGGAACTTTATTTTATTTTATCTTTAAGACAGGATTGCCCAGGCTGGAAGGCAGTGGCACAATCATGGCTCACCATAACCTTGAATTCTAGGGCTCAAGTGATCCACCTACCTCAGCCTTCCAAGAAGCTAGGACTACAGGCTTGTGCCACCATACCTGGCTAATTAAAAAAAAATTTGTAGAGATGAGTTCTCCTTATGTTGTCTAGGCTGGTCTTGACCTCCTGGGTTCAAGCAGTCCTCCCATGTCAGCCTCTCAAATTGCTGGGATTACAGGCATGAGCTACCACAATGGGCTTTCTGGGGAACTGTTAAAAAATGCCCATGTCCACCTATCCTATGATAACATTTGCCATAAATCTTCCTTCACTGAATCTCCTAGCCACAATACGGAATTCTAATTGCCTGATGAGTTCTTCCTGCCCACTACACAAAAAACACCAATTTAATAAGACCATGGCAATGCAGTAAAGAATTTAATTGATGACAGAGTTATCACTCAAATCAATCTCTCTGAAGGCTCAGAGGTTAGGGTTTTTATGGACATTTTGGTAGGCAGGGGGCTAGGGAATGGGTGCTGCTGACTGGTTGTGGATGAAATCATAGGGGTGTGGAAAACAGTCCTCATGCTCTCATTCTACCTCTGGGTGGAGTCACAGGAGCAACTGAGTCATGAGTTAAGAGTCCTGGTGGAGTCAGTCTGAAAGAAATCTCAAAAATCAATTCAGGTTCTACATTAGTGATGTTATCTATAGGCACAACTGGAAAAGTCACAAATCCTGTGACCTCTGGCCACATGACTCCTGAGCAGAAAGGGATTATGGAAACTACACTCATATTTTGGCAGAGGTTAGGCCCCTTCCATAATCCTGCTCTTGTAGTCTTTCATTAGTTTTACAAAGGTAGTTTTTGGTCCCCAAGCAAGAAGTGGTTAGTTTTAGGGAGGGACTATTATTATCCTTGTTTTCAAGTTAAACTATAAACTAAATTTCTCCCAAAGTTAGCTTGGCTTATGCCCAGGAATGACCAAGGGCAGCTTGGAGGTCAGAAGCAAGATGGAGTTCACTATGGCAGATTTCTTTTACTGTCATAATTTTGCAAAGGTGGTTGCAGGATGAGAGCGAGAGAAGTAGTGAAGCAGGAAAAGGCCAGGAAACAAACCTCTCAAACACTGAACTGGGAAGGAAGGGGTGATTTATTTGGCCAGGAGCAAGGTGGCATAGCTGCCTAACAGCCAAGCTTGTCTAACAAAGAAATCTCTGCCTTTATAAAGGCTTAGAACTCCAGATATTACATGTAAAAGGGTCTTAGGCTTACAGCTCTAGGATTTACATGTGAAAGGGTCTTAGGCTATGGAGTAGGGTGGGGTACAGTGACTTAGGTGGGGGTTTGATTGTGTTTAAGTAAAAACAATGCCTTCTGGAAAGATTCCTCCATACCATGCCTGCAATCTATAGGAGGGCAATTAAAGGTGGCCCCTGGACTGCCAGCCTTTACTTCTTCTATTGAAATGCAATGTGGAAGTCAAGGGGGAGGTGGTCTTAGATACTTAATGGTGATTAAGGGTCTCCTTCTCACTAGGGCTGGCATTCACATTTAGTAAAAGCTACCCAAGGCATTCATCTCTATTCCTCTTCCCAAACTCAATCAAGTAGAGCCTTTGAAGGATTTTACCACATTGTGACTTGATTAAAGTTGCTGTTTGGGTCAGGCATGTGGCTCATGCCTATAATCCCAGCACTTTGGGAAGCCAAAGCCAGTTGATCACTGGAGGTCAGGAGTTTGAGACCAGCCTGGCCAACATGGTGCAACCCTGTCTCTACCAGAAATATAAAAATTAGCTTGGTGTGGTGGTAGGCTGAGGCAGGAGAATTGCTGGAACCTAGGAGATGGAGGTTGCAGTGAGCCAAGATTGTGCCACTGCACTCCAGCCTGGATGACAGAGGGAGACTCCATTTAAAAAAAAAAGTTGCTGTTTGCATAAATGGGTCTGAGCAAGTAGGGAGGACCAAATAAAGGTACTGAGATCAGTAAGGAAGCCTTTATAGTAATCAGCAAAGAAATGATGTGGGTGGGAATTAAATCACTGGCAGTAAGTATGAAGAAGGAACTGATTCAAGAAGTACTTGGGAGATAGAATCCACGAGGTTTGGTGACCATTTGAATATAGGAGGAAGAGGAACTGAGAAAGGAGGAATCAGGTTAAAGATTGAATATCAATGTTAAAATGTGCACACTGAATGAACAGACCCCTAAACCGGCTTTGTGTGAGCAACATAGCTGTTTATTCACCTGGGTGCAGGTGGGCTGAGGCCAAAAAGTGCGTCAGGGAAGGGCAGTGGGAGAATTACAGTTTAGGGCGGTGTTTTCCAAGCTGGGAGGGGGTCATAGGGTGTGGAGTTGACCTAGGTCAGTTACAAAGTCCAATAGCCTTATTAATTATGAAGAGAATAAGAAACAATAGAGAATTTCTCAAAGTTAAGTTGGGGTTATTTCTTCCTCTTTTGATGGTCCTCCAGTTACTTTAGATTTTCCAGGCACTCACCTGGAGTGTCCATGCAGGTCACAGAGGTTAACATGGTGTCCATGGCACTATCAGTCAGCATAAAAGACCTTACAATTAATGAGCAGGAAGGAGGAGTAGTAGTTCACTTTTTTGTTTGTTTGTTTTTTTTTTTTTTTGAGACAGAGTCTCGCTTTGTTGCCAAGGCTGGAGTGCAATTTTGGCTCACTGCAACCTCCGACTCCTGGATTCAAGCAGTTCTCATGCCTCAGCCTCCGGAGTAGCTGAGATTACAGGCACCTGCCACCATGCCCAGCTAATTTTTGTATTTTTAGTAGAGATAGGGTTTCACCATGTTGGTCAGGCTGATCTCCAATTCCTGACTGCAGGTGATCCATTTGCCTTGGCCTCCCAAAGTGCTGGGATTACAGGCTTGCCCCACCATGTTTGGCCCCAGTAGTTCACTTTTCGAGGACATTAGAGATGCCTATAGGCATGGATGAGGAGAAGTCTAGGAAGTTGGGAATACAAACAGTGAGCTCAGGTGAGAAAGGACTGGAGTGTCCCCTCTCCCACCCCAATCCTAAGAACTCTGGAAAACACCAATATTTAAGAGGTAAGTTAGAAGAAAAGCAATTCTTGAAGGAAATCGAGTAGAATGAATTGAGAGAAGGAAAACCTGGATAATGTCATAGAAAATAAGTGATAATGCCCAATAGCTCAAATGACTAAAGCTTGAGTTAGATGAGTCCGAAAATACCTCCAAGGAGTTTGGCAACAAGGACATTGATGACGACAAGACATATTCCATGGGGGCGGAAGCTGCAGTGCAGAGTGAACACAGCTGAGCAAGTAGAGACAGTGTAGATGATCTTTTTCAAGAAACTTGGCTGTGAACGGAGGAAGTAAGACGGTATGATTGAGTGGGATGTGAGGAGATTTGAGCACATATATAGCTGAGAGGAATGAGGGAGGGTTGAAGGGACAAGAGCGTAAACGCCCTTCGGAACTCGCCATTTTGCCAGCTTCTCCCCACGTGACCTGGACGCAGTAGGCGCAGGCCGAGCCTCGCGGAGACTACAACCCCCAGAAGGCCCCGCGGCATTGGGGGGCGGAGCCGAGTCCTGGCGCGAGCTCCAGCGGCGCGAGCGGAAGAGCTAGAGCTTCGTTGAGATGGCGGAAGCGGCCAGCGACTGTGCGCGGGTAACAGCTAGCTCCACATTCCCTCCTTTTGTACCCCAAGCTAGGACTTGTAATCCCCACTTCTTTCTTCACAGCCCGGGACAAGACTTCCGTTTCTTCGTTTGTTACTAATAGTTTTTTTCCTCACGTGACGCGCGGGGCCGCCCCCCAGCCTGGGGCGGAGGTTACTGGGAAGCTCCCGCCTTCCGACCCTTGCGGCCCCGCAGTTGCCGGGGATCTTTTGCCCTCAACAGGGCTCGTGCTCGCTTTAGGTGCTCGCCCCAAATGTTTCCGGCGGAGAGGACTTTTTCTGGGTTTTAACAGGTATTGAGCGGGGTCCCTGGCCACCCCCTCGGGGCTGCGGGGGCGTGGGCCGTAGAGGGTGCCCCCGAGACGATCCCGGGGCTGCTGGCAGTTTCCCGGCTTCGCTTCGAGCCTCTCCTGTGAGCCTCCTTCGCTGCCCGGGAGCCTCGGGCTACGGGCTGGGAGTGAGCAATCTAAAAAGGAGTATGTACTTCCTCCTTTTTCTTGGCCTTCGAAAAACCTCAAGTCCGACCTTTAAAGTTTGTCAGTGTAGTCGCCTCTCAGTTGTGTACGACGGAACACAGGATTTGCAGTTTGATGTCCCGGGAGAACTCGCAGTCTGCCACTTGGCTGGACCTGTGATCTTTTGTACAGTAGTTTGTTTACTGCAGCCTCGGTTTCCTTTTCTGAAAAGTGGGGATAATATTCTTTGCCCTGCTGCCTTCCAGGGTTGTTGAGGACTTCAGCAGAAGTGATATTCGTGCAAAAGCTTTGAACTCTAAAGCATGTTTCAGGTATAACCTTGACATCCTCCAGTCTCCAGGCTGGGTCAGTTGAGTTTTAAAATCACGTTCTTGTCTATACGAAGATCAAATTAGTTAATAAATAGGGGGAAAATGTCTTTGGAAACGAATCTGAACCATACAACTGTTTTTATACCAGGTTCCTAGTGAAGAGGCGACCTTAGGGCGTTGCCACCTGTGGAGTCAATTTAAAACTTCATCTGGATTTTAAGACCCACCGGAATTTAGACTCTTCTTCCTCAGACCACACAACTGTCTACCCCTCTTGCTGTGTTATAACTTTCCTTCAGCATCACACAGGTACCAGCATCTCAGAAAACAGTAAATGTTACTCAGATATGGTGGTGCTACAGCAAATACCTGTCCCCAGCAGGTCTTGTGTCTTGTGTCACAGTTAAAATTTAGACTATAAATAGCCAAATATTCCCTTCTGTTTCCTTTTTTGACGTTAAGCTTTGAGACTTTTAAGGAAGTTGCTTATTGTCTAATTTTTCCCCTTGTAGAAAGTGGTAATTCTGCAATTAGTTTTTTTTTGGGGGGGGGGTGGGTAGAATCAGGATTTCACTATGTTGCCCAGGCTGGTCTAACTCCTGGGCCCAAATGATCCTCCCACCTTGGCCTCCCAAAGTGTTGGTATTACAGGCGTGAGCCGCTGGGCCCATTGTGCCCAACTCTAATTAATTTTTAAAGGGGTATGAAAGTGTAGTAATTAGGTATTTTTAGCCCGTGTTTATTCTGAATTTATTGATTGAAGAAAACTTGAAAATGGTTCAAAAAACAAGACAGGATGATAGTAAAGTTCATTAGCTCATTGTATAAATTTAAGCAAATTTGAGTTCAAATCCTGGTTCTGTGGCTTACTACAGGTTGGAGTATCCTTATGTGAAATGCTTGGGCCCAGAGTGTTTAAAATTTCAGATTTTCGAATATTCGCATATATGTAGTTGAGATATCTTTGGGATGGGTCCCAAATCTAAACATGAAATGTATTCAAATTTCATATATACCTTATATACCATTATTAATAATTATTAAAAATATACCATTTCTAATAATTTAATAATTTGTGACCAGGCGAGGTACCTTATGCCTGTAATCCCGGCACTTTGGGAGGCTGAGTTAGGTGCATCTCGAGGTCAGCAGATCAAGACCATCCTGGCCAGTATGGTGAAACCCCGTCTCTACTAAAATACAAAAAAGTTAGCTGGGCTTGGTGGTGTGCGCACCTGTAGTCCCAGCTACTCAGGAGGCTGAGGCAGGGAATTGCTTGAACCTGGGAGGCAGAGGTTGCAGTGAGGTGAGAAGATCGCGCCACTGCACTCCAGTCTGGAGACAGAGCGGAGTCTCAAAAAAAAAAAAAAAAGTTTTTGGAGCATTTTGGATTTCGGATTTTCAGATTAGGGATTCTCAACCTGTAGGTTTTGATTTTGGGCAAATTAGTTAACTTTCCCGAGCCTGTTTACTAATCTGTAAAATGGAGATAAATAGCATATGTCACAAAGTGAGTACAAAGAATAAGTGAGATGTGACCATAAATGGCTTAGTGGTGCTGGGTACAAATAAAGCTCTCATTTTTTTGTTGCTGTTGTTATTGATGATTATGATGATAGTGATGATGATCATTTTAGGCATTTTCCTGAAATTCCATTTATCCGTAAAATGGATAGTCATTCTTAATTCTAAAACTCTGAGAATTTCTGTAAATAGAAGTTCTCAGATTGCAGTTTGTTTTTTTAGCAATTGCATTTTGTATTGAAATTATATTTGATTTTTATTTTTTCAATTTTAGAGGTTCCTAAAATGCTGTTGTGCAAAATTATTGGGCTTTGCTGTGTTTTTGTTTTTCCAGAGATTCTAAATGTGGCTTTGTACATAGTTTGTTGAAATTGAACTGGTGCTTCATTTATAACCTGTAGTAAGAATGCACTTCTGTATATTGTAGCTTGTGGCAGAACAATTATCTATCTTTATGACTCAGATCTTGACTAGGATAGACTTTTGTGGAACAGTTTTGTCTTCCTGCCTTATTTTTATTTTTATTTTTTTTAAGCCAGACTATTTGACTTTAAAATTTCAGCCTATTGGATAGGGTTTGGGAGACTTGGTGACCTTCATTTTTTCTAGATGGCATTTCTTAGTGACTGATGCTGATGATGGCATTGGTATGTGTGTATCTGCAGGCAGTGAGAGTTGAGAAAGACCAAGGAGGAAGGTCGTATAGAGAAAAATGATTTGTTGGCCAAGGCAAAGTCTTGGAGTTTAGAATTGAAATATGCATTTTTTACTTCCTTCAAGTGCCATATTGACTACCAGATATCTGCAAATACCATATGTTTTCTAAGCAGATTTAGATGCTTAGAAAATGTTTCCTTTACTCTGTTTTTTTGTTGTGGTATCCCTGGGCTATGTTATACCGGCTTCTTTCTTACCTTTATTTATAAATCAGCAAGATAACTATTTTTTTCACACCAGACTTGTATGCAAAGCTATGACAATAGAAAGTCACTTCCATTAAAATGTACTTTGTGTGCTATAATGTGTTAATTTTTCCTTTATGTTTTAATCTTAAACACTTTGACTGGGTGTGGTAGCCCACTCCTGTAATTCCAGCACTTTGAGATCCATTTAGGTAGGCTCATTGGAGGCCAGGAGTTCGAGAGCCTGGGCAACAAAGCGAGACCTTCTCTGATTAAAAATAAAAAATCAATTAAACACTTTTGTTCCTTGACTGTTTTTTACTTAAAAGGAATTTTTGGAAGGTATACTAATTCTCAGCTACAGTATGCGAGTATGTGTAGTGGATGCTCAGTAATGAGCGTGCTGAATAGTTCTGAATAGGAACATTTTGTTGGTTGTCCTAGGTCACTGAGGTGCAACTCTGGAGAGGCCATATATCATTGTGGCAATAACCTATGCTTTGGAGTCAAGAAAGACCAAGGTCTGAATCCAGGCTCACTAGATGTAACTTTGGTACATATGATCATTCTGAATTCAGTTTCTCATCATCTGAAAGACAGATTAGACTAATCCTGCATGGTTGAAAAGATGAAAAATTTTTTGAATGAGGCACATACTAGCCAGGTTTAGTATAATATTAAAGATCGGGGTGTTATTACTATTGTAATTTTTTTTTTTTTTTTTTGAGATGGAGCCTCGCTCTGTTGCCCAGGATGGACTGTAGTGGCGTTGTCTTGGCTCACTGCAACCTCCACCTTCCAGGTTCAATGGATTCTTTTGCCTCAGCCTCTTGAGTAGCTGGGACTACAGGCACGTGCCACCACGCCCAGCTAATTTTTTGTGTTTTTAGTAAAGATGGAGTTTCACCATGTTAGCCAGGATGGTCTTGATCTCCTGACCTCAGGTGATCAGCCCACCTTGGCCTCCCAAAGTGCTGGAATTACAGATGTGAGCCACCGCACCCAGCCTATTTTTAATTTTAAATTTTTATTATTTTATTTTTCAGAAACGTTTGGATTTTGTTGATACAGCTATATTCATTCCCCTAATGCTTCAATGATCAGTGTGTTTCTTAGCCAAGGTTAAGGTTGTTGACTGTGTCCATGGAACCCTGAAACACACAGAAAGCTAATTGGCCAACATGGAGTTTGAGTCTGTGACCTCGTCCTCATTAGCTCCACAAGCTAACTATTCACAAATAGCTAACTATTCTCACCAGAATGAATGAAAAGACTGGTATATTTTTTATTTTGTTCTCATGCAACTCATTAGACATAAGTAAATGAACTAGTACCAGAAGTAAAAGTATAGATTTTTCATTAGCTTATGTAAATAATGATTAGCCCTCACGCTATGTATAAAACCGGCGACCTGTAGGATAATCTTTGACAACCCCACTAACCTAAGCTATAATTCAGACATTTCTTTTAGTTGTTGAATTACATTTGTTGTAGACTTCTCACCTACAGGAGAAGTGAGAAGAAACGGAGCTAGGCTATTATGTCTTGAAAGAGTACTTTCCGTGTGTTCTGTTACCCACTAGGAAATGTGCTATTTGCTAGTGCAGACAACATTTAGAGTTGTCCAGTAATGAGGCCAGCAGGATGGATGAAGCTTGGGAAACTCCTAAGAGCTTATTGAATTACAGAGAAATTTCAGTTGTCAAAGCTTTAGATAGAAGTAAAGTTATAGGGTGTTACTCAGCAGTAGTAAGCCTACATTTGGAGAGAATTTTCTCCTCTCAATAAAACATGGACCAGTTGCTTTGAGTTTGTGGTGTCCATTTTTCACCGTCTCATGCTAGCCTTCTCTATAGTTTTTCATTCTTCAAATTCACCCTACAGTTTTATTAATATTTGTTGTTCCTCTTGTATCTTTTTTTTTTTTAAATGCCAGATATGGCTGGGTTGGGACTAGGGATAAAAACAGAAGCAGAGAAGCACTGTTTGGAAAATAGATTCTAGTATCTAGTATTGTGAGGTTTCCGAATAACACAGGTCAAACTGAATATGATAATATGAATTTTGGGGATAGACAAATGGCTGACAGTTCATGACCATTTAACCTGTGCAGGTAATATGGGCAAAAGGTGTATAGCACTCCTTAATGTTACATTTGCCTCTTAGAAAAGAATCTGAATGTATACAGGGTTAACGCTGGCTTGCAGTTGTGCTGTTTCAAGTTCTTTGCCATGGATTGCCAGAAGAGTCTTAAAGAAGAGAAGCACTTGGATTTATATCCTGACTTCTCGAATTTTATCCAGTAGTCCTGCTTCTGTTTTCTTATCTTTAAAATAGGGTTAATAACCAACTCTGCTTGTTTATAAATATTAAAAGGAAAAGTAAACAAGGATGTCTTGAAAATGAGGTGGATACGTGCGGGAGAGAACGAAAGGCAGAATCCAAGAGAAGAGCTCAGAGACACCTACACACGTCGTCATAGGGACACATGCAATAGGCAGAGAGAGAAGGTCAGGCAGAGACAGAGAAGTAAAAAACACTGAGAGGATACTCACCTGGGCAGAGTTAGAAAGCAGGAGAATCAGAGATGTAGAGTTAGGAATGAGGGACAGACATACAGGGAAGGAGCCAGAAAGAGTGAATGGGGCAGGGCTGGCAGGAGAGGGACAACTAGGAGGTCATGACCCAGATGAAGAGCTTATTGAGTTAGTTTTTGCCTGTTATTTGAGAAGGACTGTATATATTTATAGTTGGCTAGGAAAGGGAAAAGAAGCAGATATTAATAGTAAATCAAGTAATGTATTTATGAAATTTTTATTACACTAACATTTTTTTCCTTAAATACTAAATTTATTTTGCATATTCAACATGCAAATATCAAGCCAATTTACTTATTACAGACTGGTTAACTACTTACTTCACCTCTTAGTGTCATTTAAACACATTTAAAAAATTTAAATAAGAGTAATAATATTTTTTCTCAAAAAATTCTAATACATAGTTTACTATATTAGATTAGAAAACATGGCAAATACAGGAAATTTAAAAGTATAACAGAAAACACTCATAAACTCACAATCTAAACATAACATATAATGAGGCCCACATTTTTCATGTTTTTTCCCCCAGTCCTTTTTCTAGGCATTTCCTCTACTATCCTAAAGGAATCAAAAGCTGTTTATGTGTCCAAAATGAAACTATAACTCTTTGTGGCAGAGTTAACTTTATAATCCTATTTTGGCACTTAGGTACTTTCATAAACTATTTGTGTTCCCATTTTATTTCTTCTCTCCCTAGATTGTAAACTTTTAACTCTAGACCATATGTTATTCACCTTTGTGTCTTACGAATCTAGCAAGGTGTCTTATATATCATAGGTATTCAGTGTATATTTGAGATGAATTGTTAAGTCTCCTAAGTAGACACTGCCTTATTTAAACAGGTCTGCCAAATTGCACATTGGATTGAACCTTCCTTAAAGTTGAAAAAAACTTGATTTTAAGGGTGAGGGGTGTGTGTGTGTGTGTGTGTGTGTGTGTGTGTGTGTGTAATGTGAAGCTACTGAACTGGGAAAGGCACCTTTTCTCTGGTTACCTTTTGTTTGTAGCAATCCACTCCAAAACGTAGTGGTTTAAGACAGCCATTTTATTGTGCAATGGATGTGTTTGAATTCAGACAGTACAGTTTCTGCACAGATGGCTTGCTTAAGCCTTAGCTGGGAAGATTTGAATGCTGGTGGTGACTTGAAGGCTGGTAATTCGAATCTGGAGGCTTCCTCATTCACATGGCTAGTGATTGATACTGGTTGTCTCTCAGAACACCTACCTACCCACATAGGCTAATTTGAGCTTCTTTGCAGCATGGTGGTGGCTGTTTTCTAGGAGTGAGCATCTAGACAGAACCAGGTGGAAACTGCATTGCTTTTTGTGACCAATTATGAATACGTTTAATTACAAAATATTTTGCCCAGACCCTGGTTGGAATATTTTGTGACATATGGAACGTGTGCCGTATTAACCTTTTCTAAATCTGAAAATTTCTGATTTTTGAATCTTGTCTGGTCCCACAAATTTTGGGTTAGGGATTTTGGACTGGAATTAAAAACCTGGTGTTAGGAAACGATGAGTTTGTTAGCCTATTTTGGTAGTTCTAAACTTTTTTATCATGTGAATCTTCCCAGAACTTTTGTGCTTCCATTTCACATTTTCATTTCAAAAGATCCGGAAGGAAAAGAAATAGTCTTGATTTGTTTATCTGATCAGTACTTCTCTCTTACCATCCCACATAACTCTTTCAAACTTGTGACCATCTCTCAGTATGTTCAGAATTTTTAGTGGCTTTTTATACCTCTTGGTTCTTCATGTGAGAACCAGTGATTTAAATTAAGTACTGGAGTTGACAAGCCCCAGGAGCCATGTCGTTCTTGTTTTTTGCCTCCAGTGTTGTCACTGTGACTGCTGTTCTTTCCCTTTTTGCCATAGTATTTCTTTTTTTACTGTGTTTCTTGTTTGCTTCCTTAAGTATCCTGAAACTTTTCTTTGCTTCTAACATGTTATTGAGGGACAGTGCTTCAAAAACTAGGCCAAGATCTTGGCTGCCAGTTTACTAACTTGCAGTGTGCCCTCTCAGTGGAGAGAAAACATTAAGTTCAGGGTTGAGGAATTTATCTTTGACTTCATAATGTCATGTAGTTTTAACTTTGTAAATTATTACTTTACCATAAATTCAATATATGACTGTACATTACAAAATATTCCAAACAGGGTCTAGGGCAGTACTTTGTTTTTTTGAGTGTTTTTTCTTTTTCTTTTTTTTTTCCAAGACAGGGTCTCGTTCAGTCACTCAGGCTGGAGTGCAGTGGTGTGATTTCGGCTCTCACTACCACCTCCACCTCCTGGGTTCAAGCGATTCTGCTGCCTCAGCCTCCCAAGTAACTGGGACTACAGGTGCGTGCTACCATTTGTATTTTTAGTAGAGACAGGGTTTTACCATATTAGTTAGGATGGTCTCGATCTCCTGACCTCATGATCTGCCCACCTTGGCCTCCCACAGGGCTGGGATTAGATGTGAGCCACCGTGCCCGGCCTAGGGCAGTACTTTGTAATGTAATTAAACACAGGAATAGTTTATATGTATTCATTATAGAGGATTTGGAAAATACAAGCATATATTCACCACCTGGAAGTAACTGTTAACCTTGGGGTGTATAACCTGCCATTCTTTTTTCTGATTGTCTATTATAGTAGCGCACACACATTTAGATTGGAATCTCTTGCTGTTATATATAAACTTTGTATCCTGCTTTAAAAATATATGATGGGTTGGGGCAGTGGCTCAGTAATCCCAGCACTTTGGGGGTGCCAAAGTGAGAAGATTGCTTGAACTCAGGAGTTTGAGACTAGCCAGGGTGACATAGTGAAACCCATCTCTACAAAAAAATGTGGAATGTCGCATGAATTATATTACTGGGCAGTAATCTTTTTTATTTTATTTATTTATTTATTTTCCAAGATGGAATCTTGCTCTGTCGCCCAGAGCTGGAGTGCAGTAGCACGATCTCAGCTCATTGCAACCTCTGCCTCCCAGGTTCAAGCTATTCTCCTGCCTCAGCCTACTGAGTAGCAGGGATTGCAGGCACATGCCACCACACCAGCTAATTTTTGTATTTTTAGAAGAGATGGGTTTCACCATGTTGGCCAGGCTGGTCTCGAACTCTTGACCTTGTGATCCGCTCGCCTCAGACTCAAAGTGCTGGGATTACAAGCTTGAGACACAGTGCCCAGCCTGGGTAGTAATCTTTAGATTTGTCTTTGTTTTGGATGGTAACCTAGGAAATTGGGGTTCAAATTCTGGCTTTGTCCTTGCCAAACTGAAAACAAGGGGAAGTTATAGGATACCTCTGGGCTTCCAAGTTTCAGCTATCATACTTCCTAAGTATTTGACACAACAACCTTATGAAAGTTAACCCTCTGCTTAGAACATTATTCATATGCAAAAGAAGTCCTAGTCTGGTCTGTCTTTGAGATTCTTCCAGTTCTACTACTGAATGATCTCTAAGTTGAGAAATGCAAAATATAGCAGTATTTATATGAGGTTATTTAGGCTTATGGAAGGGAAGGATCTTGAAGGAAATGAAAGAGTGACAAATTGACTGGAGGGGACAGAAGAAAACTCTAGAGGGAATGGTGTGAAATTGGGAGCAAGGATGATTATAGTATGTGGACTGAGTGAGACAAACAAGTGATCTTACCAGTATTACACAAATAGAAGTATGAAATTTACTGATAGGTAGTAAGGAGATAGGATTTGTTAAGTTTATATGTGTGTGGGGGTAGTGAAGAAGGATTAAGGGACAATATCGAAAAACTTAGATTTGATCCAGTAGGTGGCAAGACGTCTGTTAAGAATCATATAGTGAAAACAGTGTTTGACTAAGGCTGCATTGGCAACTTTGTATGTTTGGTAACCTCAAGTAGAGGAAGTTGCTGAAGAGTACAGTATTTCAATTATACGGTGGAATAATGTGGAAATAGATGTGGGAATAATGTAAAAATAGAAAACATGATACCTCTTGTGGAAGAAGAACAATAAGATGGGGTTAGAACTGGGAGTCAGAGTATCTCAAAATTTTGAGCCTGATGTATCATGTGTATTGTGTCATTGATAGTGGCACTGGGAAAGGATCTCAGATAGATCTTGGAGAAAGATATTGAGTTCAATTTCTAATATATTCAGTTTAGATATTAGGTTATTTACGTGGTAGTTTAAAAAGTCTGGTGCTTTAAAAATTTATGACTCTAAATGAATGCTGCCCCTTTTAAAGTAATGTTTTTGAGGACATGCATTTATTCTAGCAAATAAATATTCTTTGGAATTTGACCTTTGAAACTGCTTTTAGAACCTGTAGAGCCACATAGGAAAACCATTCTCATGACTTGATGGTCACATCCCTTGTCCCCAAAAGAATATGATCTCACCTGGTCGCCCATCTATTTACCATACATGTTGCTATGTAATAATTGGCAGTTCCTAAAAATTAATCTGCAGAAACAAAATTTATTACCATGGAGGATATTTTAATGATTATTGTGATTGTTGGGGACACTAAAAAGTCTTAAGCTGTGATAGCATCTTTTTTTTGGTTTCAGCTTTGTTGACAAACCGTTCACATACTGTACAATTCACCCATTTTTTGGTGGAGGGGTACATGTGATAATAAATTTATATAATTTGTAAAGATCAAATAAGAGTAAATAGGGATATCCATCTCCTTACACAGTTGTCTTTTCTTTTGTTAAAAACATCTGAAATATGTAACAGATTATTGTAAACTTTAGTCATCCTACTGATCTATGAAACACTAGGTCGTATTTCTTCTATCAAATTGTATATTTGTACCCATTAATCAACCTCTTTATATCTTCCCCATCCCTACCCCTTCTTGGCTTTTGGTACGCACCAGTCTACATTCTATTTTCAAGATCCACTTTTCAGATCCCACATATAAGTGAGAATATGTGATATTTTTCTTTTGGAGCTTGGCTTATTTTATTTAACATGATGACCTATAGTTCCATTTATGCTGCTCCAAATGACGAGATAGCATTCTTTGAAAATTTTTTTTGTTCTTCATATATTTATACATTGATGGACACTTAGGTTATTCCATATTTTGGATATGTGAATAGTGCTGCAAAAAAAAAACATAGAAGTGCAGATGTCTCTTTAATATATTGATTTCTTTTCTTTTGGATGTATATCCAGTAGTAGAATTGCTGGATCACATGATGATTCTATTTTCCATTTTTTGAGGAAACTCCATACCATTCCCCATAGTTGCTATATTAATTTACATTCCCTCCAACAGTGTAGAAGAGTTCCCCTTTCTCCATATTCTCACCAGCATCTGCCTTTTTTTATAAAAGCCATTGTAACTGGCATGAGATTATATCTCATTGTTAATTTGATTTGTATTTCTCTGATGAATAGTGATGTTGAACTTTTTTTCATATACCTGTTGGTATATGTTGATATATGTTGTTTTGAGAAACATCTCTTCAGATCTTCTGCCCATTTAAAAATCTTATTTGTTCTTTTGCTCTTGAGTTGTTTGAACTCGTTATATATTCTTGTTATTAATCCTTTGCCAGATGGATAGTTTGCAAATATTTTCCCCATCCTATGGGTTATCTCTTTACTTTGATTGTTTCCTTTGCTGTGCAGGAACTTTTTAGCTTGATGTAATCCCATTTATCTATTTTGCCGTGGTTGCTTGTGCGTTTAAGTTCTTACACAAAAAATCTTTGCCTAGATCAGTCCTGGAGCAATTCCCTAATGTTTTCTTCTAATAGTTTGATAGTTTCAGGCCTTACATATTTAGGTCTTTAATCCATTTTGATTTGATTTTTGTATATAGTGAAACATAGGTTTTAGCTTCATTATTCTCCATATTATTATCCAGTTTTTCCAGTACCATTGGTTGAAGAGACTGTTCTTTCCCCATTTTATGTTCTTCGTGCCTTTGTCAAAAATAAATTGGCTGTAAATGTGTGGACTTATATTTGGGGTCTCTATTTTGTCCCATTGGTCTATGTGTCTGTTTTAATGCCAGTAAGAGGCAGAGTTTTGTAGTATAATTTGAAGTCAGATAGTGCAGTACCTCCAGCTTTCTTCTTTTTACTCAGGATTGCTTTGTCCATTCAGGTTCTTTTGTAGTATAATTTGAAGTCAGATAGTGCAATACTTCCAGCTTTCTTCTTTTTGCTCAGGATTGCTCTGGCTATTCAGGTTCTCTCGTGATTCTATATAGTTTTTGTGATTGTTTTTCTGTGTCTGTGAAGAATGTCATTGTTATTTTGATAGAGATTGCATTGAATCTGTAAATTGCTTTGGTGGTATTGTCTTTTTAACTGTGTTACTTCCTCTAATTCATGAGCATGGAGTGTATCTTTCCATTTTTTGGTATCAACTTCAGTTTCTTTCATCAGTGTTTTATAGTGTTCCTTGTATAGCTCTTTTACTTTGGTTAAATTAATTCTTTGTAGCTATTATAAATGGGACTGCTTTCTTGCATTCTCTTTCAGATTGTTAGCTATTGGCATATATAAATCTACTGATTTTTGTTGTTGATTTTTGTGTCCTACAACTTTACTGAATTATCAGTTCTAAGAATTTTTTGGTGGAATCCTTAGGTTTCTCTCTGTATAAATCATTTGGTCTGCAAAGAGGGACAATTTGACTTCTTCCTTTCCAATTTGGTGCCCTTTATTTCTTTCTCTTGTCTTGTTGCTCTGGCCATAACTTCCATGATTATGTTGAGTAAAGTGGTACATGTGGGCATCCTTGTCTTGTTCCAGATTTTAGAGGAAAGGCTTTCAAATTTTCCCTGTTCAGTGTGATGTTAGCTGTGGGTTTGTCATATATAGCCTTTATTATTTTGTATATTCCTTCTGTACCCAGTGTACTGAGGATTTTTACCAGAAAGGGATATTAGATCTTATTGAATACTTTTTCAGCATCTATTAAAGTGATTGTATGGTTTTTTGTTCTTGGTTCTGTTAATGTGATGTATCATGTTTATTGACTTATGCTGATGAACCATCTTTGCATCCCTGGGATGACTCCCACTTGATCATGGGAAATGATCTTTTTAATGTGTTGTTGAATTTGGTCTGCTAGTATTTTTGCATCTATGTTCGTTAGTGATACTGGCCCATAATTTTCTTTTTTTATTGTCTCCTTGACTGGTTTTGTTATCAGGGTAATGCTGGCTTTGTAGAATGAGTTGGAAAGTATTCCCTCTCCTTCACTTTTTTGGAAGAATATGAGCAGAATTGATATTCTTTGAATGTCTGGTAGAATTCACCAGTGAAGCCATCAGGTTCTGGGCTTTTCTTTAATAGGAGACTTTTTACTATGGCTTCAATTAGGCTATTCTTTATTGGTT